GGGGAGAGGCCGGGAGGTGCAAGGCAAGAGAATGGAGATTGTGAAAGAGGACGTGGCATTTGTGCGTGATAGCATATTGGATTAGAGACAGAGTTCAAGTTTGTGAGGAGGTGCCTAGGATTCGAGAGTGTGATGACGAGTGGGAATACGGATCAATCTGTGGTTTATGGATTGAAGGTGAGCCGTAATTCAGGGTTTAGATAGCGTTTTCAATGACTAGGGTTCCTAATATGATAAATGTGTGTATTTGTGTAAGAGGCAGAATCTTTTGCTCTGGCGATTATTGCAGCATAGCTTCATATTTCAACTCCTCCAAATTTTTAATTATTTTCTATCCCATCTTCATTGCTTTTACACATCTATAACGCAAATCCTTCGATAAGAAAATTATCATCAATGATTTTATTAGATTTATTTGGGAGCAATCCGAAGTTATTTTCACGTTCTATACCCGAGTTAAATTAGTCCTTTGACAGTGCAACTAAAGTGATAGTCTGGGTACTATAGAATTTTTGAATTCTTCTCATCCTCCCTTCCATCTGAGATAATCCTAAACAGTCTGCGTAATGGAAGTACATTCGTCTCTATTCTGGTCATAGAACGATTTTGAAGGGGATAATTAACAGTCGCATACCAATGGCTTCAGGGGGTGGAACCCCAATGAAGTGTTTTATTTTAATATATTTGTTTATATAATTTGTTACCTATTCATCGTTCAGGAATTTTATTACGAGAACCTTTCTGAACTCTTCATGATTTTGACTTTTAGCGCTTAATGGATGTTTACAAAAAAATTGAAACTGTCGACATGCGTAATGGCTTCTTAGAAACTCCGAGGTTTTCTTCTAACACGTAAACATTTTTTTTTTAGATTTGGTCGACGTAGATAACAGTTATCGAATTTGAGAATAAGATTTTTTGAACTAGATCTTCAAAAGTGGAATGTGTGTTTATGCCTTTCTGTACTATCCTTACAATCATTTTCTGCAAGTTTTTGTTTAAATATTCTCAGTTTTCTTAAGTTTGCCAAGGACATAAACATTCTGAACATTTTCTGTAATTGCGAACCCTTCTGCGGGGGTTACACAATAATGTAAAGCAACAAACTTAATAATATAAAATCTATGTAAAGAACAGAACTTCGCAGGTTTCTGAAACAACCTTAAATTTTCGATAATCGTAAAACTAATTCAATTCATTGAAGTAATTATTTTCAAGTCCTAGTGTGACATGTCCTATACGCTCTGGAATTTACCACGAACAAAATACAAATGGAAGGAATTACTAACCAACAGCATGGACAAATTATCATTAAATGGAGGTCTGGTATAAAATATTGAACACAGCACGACAAAAGTATGTTTCTATGACGCGATGGTA